CCTACCGAAGTGGTACCTATTTATCTAGTTGCAATTTCTTGCTTTCGAACTGCTAGGTTGGCAGGAGCTGGAACTAGAGACTCCATCATGCGGCACACTCAGGTCTCGGACCGCTGAACTACTGACCTTCCACAGCCTGCAGTTCAGCGTCTTAACCACTTGAGCCACCGCAGCTCCTACTCACAAGTGTAGCCACCCTTTATTTCACATCTCTAATGTGCCAAGGTCTGAAATACCATTCTAATCCTCTGGGCCTCAGAATGCCTCATGCCACCCACCCCCAGCCAAAAATCACCCCAATGTGTTTCTTGTAGACAGGTCAACAGAGTTAAGGAATTTTAGTTGATCTGCCTTTTAATTACATTTAAATACAGTTGCATACTACAAAAATCTACTTTAAAAGTGCCATTTGAAATACTTAAGTATGGGAGAAGTTCAGTTTAGTAAAAAAAAACACTCAAGAGACTTGAATCCATCAGAACAGTTCTGCAAATAGGAATATTTCTGCCCATGGGAAGTGAATTTCTCTCCCTTCAAACAGCAGCAATTTGGGCTGCAGTCAGAGAATGGAGACTAGGAAGTCATATTCTGCAGATGGAAATCCCTTCCGTCCACAGAGGTACTCCAGTGGATCCAAACCATTATTAGAACAAAAGACTTACCTAATTTGTCACACAGTCCAATTTAGACAGAAACAAAGCAGGGCAGGACCAAATAAGAATCGACTGATCTACTCCTCAAAGATCATAGCCCTGTATTTCACATGCACTGTTTGGTTTTATTTATGTACTTCAGACCACGTTCCAGCCAAAGTCTCACTGAATAACTTTGCTCATTGAATAGCAGGTCCCAAATTGTGGGGCTTGAAGGCCTTTCTGAAGCTAAGCGCACCTGGGTCTGGTCAGTGCCCAGATGAAAGACTCCTGGGAATCTTATGTACACTGTCAAATAAGGGACATCCTTTTAATTCTTTAAGATTTGGGGTTTTGCAGGAAAGTAAGGTTAACAGACCACAGTCTGTACTGCTGTAAAGGTACCGATAAAGGGGCTGCAATGTGTGTGTGCGTGTGTGTGATAAGACCAGCTGGATTGAGAGAGTCTCTCATACAGGGCTGTTTGGATGACAACATGGAAGAAGGGAGAATCACGTATGCTGCCCTAACCTCCTTGGAGAAAGGGTGGGATCAAAACATTAATAGATATTTCTCATTTTCCCCTGCCAAATGGGGATCCATTACTAAGAATGCCACTCCAGGACAGTACGATAGGTCCCTGAGCTTGGCTTCCCATCACTGCAAGCAGCTGCCAACAAAGTGAGGTGGGGGAACAGCAATGCAGCCTTCATTTTGATTTTCTAGAGGGGATGGAAAGAAAAATTCAAGGCTGCTGTTTCTAGCAGCAGATCCAAGTTGCTCATCATGTATAGCTCTGCCCTACTTCTCAGGCATCCCAACAAAGAAAGGTTCCTCCTCACATAACTATGGGGACTTGGAAAAGGGCCTTCTAGCAGGTGAATAATTTGACGTTACTTTCTATATAAGAGAGACTAGTACATTCAAGGGCCTTTTCTAGCTGCACACGTGAAGGGCAAGGAAATCAACAAAGCAGTGAAAAGATTGTGGCCTTAACAGATGCATGCCTTTTAGATTCCATCGAGGAGCTTCTTGAGGTGAGATGCTCAAGCACTGCAAAACGGGAACGATCAGACCAGCTCTTCAATCATGTTTCTACAGGAACTACGCTGGCTAGAATGCTCATTGTTATTCCAGGTGTTTTCTTTTGTACACACTCTCCTGCATGAATAGGAGTTAGATTAGAGTTCAATTGAAAGTTTTGCTGCCAGAACAACAGAATCTTAAGACTGATGCAAAAAAGCAAGGCTCTAGCCCTCATGATTACTAAAACTGGGATTAACAAGGGTTTGAGGAAATGCTGATAAGATTGAATGGAGGAAATTTCTCTCATTTCTGGGTGTCCCTGATGCCCTCTCTCTGGACTTCCATCCAAATTTATTGTTCTTAACTCAGGCTGCCTCCCTAAAGGCCTCCAATGAAAGGAAGGGAACCAGAGAATTTGTTACATGAATCCAGTGTCACCTTCTGTGTTGAGTTCTCCTGTCTCTCAGTGAGAAGATGAGTAATGGTAAAAACAAACAAAAAATCTTTCCTGAGAAAGGGCTACACTTTAGCACTACAGTTCTTTACCCGCAACACGTAGCCTTAAGGGAGCACTGAGCATATCCCAAGGCGTGCACACATAAGCAGCGAGGCCTGACCAACTAGCCAGAGGGTCATGTATATTCTAGAATATGTCCTGCACTGCACAAGGATTCCATGGCAGGAAAATCAAGGTGGGAAGGGCTCTCTTAGAGACAGGGAGTGTGAATGTCACAGAGATGCATGGAACTGCCACAAAAAGCAAAGGAACAAGAGCACTGGCACGAAGTTCCACTGGGGATGTCCCCATTTCAGCTGGAAAATAATCAAGCACAGAGGCACCTGCAGACATCAGATTAAAGCCCAACCGTCTCCACTTTCCAGCCCCAGCCTCAATAAGGTTCCCTTGCAGCTATCAAAAACAGGGACAAGGCACCTTGGGCGTGGGAAGCATTGTCACAAACTGTGACATTCCCAGTTCTCATTTTGGAGCAGCGGGTGGAACAGAGTCTGAGCTGATGCCCGGAGAGCGGGCAGGCCTCCTCCTTGGATTAGCAACTAATGGGATTTAGCAGCTCATCCAATATCTCCCTTCAATACAGAAGGAGTGGGGGGCTAAACACCATTCTGAATCAAAGACACACACCCCTCAGCTGCCCTAGCTAAGTACTGCTCAGTTAAGCTGTTTCTAATTAAAGTCAGTAGTGAGTGACATACCCACTTCCACTCTGCAGCTAGCTACAGCAACCCCAACCGAAAAGGACAGACGTTGGACACCGCGTGGGGGGGGGGGGGGCATACATTAGTAAGACTTAAAAAATTCCATCAACACGGGGATTCTGCTCAGGGTTGTCTCTTTTCTGAAAGCCCCATAACAATGCACCAACAGCCCAACCCTCTGCAGACTTATTCTAGTCTAAGCCCAATGAAATCAGTTGCCCTGCAGGTCTTACAATTCACTCCCAAGCTATGCTCACACAAATAAGTTCCTTTATTTTTACATCCTTTTAAGTGCGTTTACTCCTGATCTGTGCAGAGAAGGGGGGTTGTATACACCACACATGTATCTTGCACTACTAAACCATTTGTTCACATAAACACAGTAATTTTTGACTGGCATTCCCAAGAGCATGGCCAAATAAAAGCCCCTTTGGAGCCCAGACCACCAATCACAAATGGTGATGCCTAAATCTCTGTCTGGCTTCACTCTGGGATAGCCTCTCATGCCTTCACTGGGCAGCACAGAAGACACGAGGTCCTCAATAACACCCCCCACCACGGTGCACCTAATCCTGTTTGCCTTTGTCCATGCAAAAATAGCTTAGTGTCATCAGTGAAAGGATATATAAACCAATCATAAGATAGGCACATTTTTAAAAAACCCTCAAGTACCAGACTGGAGCCAGCAGCTACATAAAACAAGTTTAATATCCAATGGGGGGGGGGGGGGCG